TTCCCACAGCCCCTGGCTTGCCGTACCTCCTAACGTACTTGTGAGTTGTATGGCAGGTGTAAGTAAAGGTCAGATTTTCCTACACTTGGTATGTGTTTGATGTCAAGACCTGCACACCTTTTGTCCACTGCTTTTTTTAATACAATTCTTAAAACAAAAAATCAGGAGAATCATAAAAATGATGCCTAGCCACCCCTTCCTAATAAGCAGTGCTTATTATTTCAGAAGAACATAGACCTAGGAAAAGAATGGAAAGATGAGGGGAAAACAGCCCAAATTGCAGTTACATACATCCATGCACAGATGATGAACCGTGTACATTGCCCACCCTCTACAGAAGAAGAGAAGTTCAATAAAAAGCATAACTAGTTTGTTTCAGAATAATTTTCTAAAGCTTTCCTCAGCCTAGTTCTATTCCTGTTAGCAAGAGAAACTGCTCCCTGTCCAGATTGTTCAAAACTGAGGAGCTTTCTTCCACTTCAACAACTTTCTTTTACACCCTTTTTCATCTTCACCCTCTCTCTCATGCAAGTATTACAGAATCCATAATCTGAGAGACTTTTCTCAAGGTACACCATGAAAACAGCCTTTCAGTTTGCCAGAATTACAGTCTGTTTCACAGCTGAGAGGACTAATGCAAACCTTACAGGTATGGAAAAGGGACTATGACACAGAAGCAGAGATCTTACTTCTTTACTTGCACTGGTAAATGCACTACTGTATCCAGAACCATAAGTCATATTTTTAAAAGATGCTCAGCCTGGCCTCAACCCTGACTACATTTGGAGTTGGAAGGTGGACCAAAGACCTCCTGAATCATAGAATCAACTGGGCTGGAAAAAGACCTTTAAGATCGTGAAGTCCAACCATTCCCCTGTACTGCCAAGGCCACCACTGACCTGTGTCACTGAAGGCCTCGTCTACACAGTGTGTGAACACTTCAAAGGAGTGTGACTCCAGCACTGCCCTAGGAAGCCTGTTCCAATGCCTGAGCATCCTTCGGGGAAGGAATTGTTCCTCAGCTCCATCTAAAACTTTCCTGGTGTAGCTTGAGGATGTTTCCTCTTATCCTGTCACTTGTTCCTTGTGAGAAGGGACCAACCACACCTCACTCCATCCTCCTGTCAGGCAGTTGTAGAGAGCGATAAGGTCCCCCCTGAGCCTTCTCTTCTCCAGACTAAACACCCCCAGGTCCCTCAGCTGTTCCCCATCACACTTGTGCTCCAGACCCTCCACCAGCTCCATTGCCCTTCTCTGGCCCCACTACAGAACCTCAATGCTGCTCTTGTAGTGAGGGGCCCAGAACTGAACACAGGATTCAAGGTGCAGCCTCCCCAGTGCCCAGTGCAGGGGAAAATCACTGCCCTGGCCCTGCTGCCACACTATTGTTGATACAGGCAGGATGATCTTGGCCTTCTTGGATACACCAAAGTGTAGTCAGGCATTGGAACAGGCTGCCCAGGGTGGTGGTGGAGTCACCGTTCCTTGAAATGTTCACAAACCGTGTAGCTGAGTCCTTCAGTGGCATGGGTTAGTGGTGGCCTTTTCAGTGCTGAGGAATGGTTGGACTTGATGCTCTTTTCCAACCCAGCTGATTCTATGATTCTATGATTAAGGAGGTCTCTGGTCTGCCCTCCAGCTCCAAATGGGGTCGGGGCTGAAGCCAGGCTGAGCTTCTCAGGGGTTTGTCCACTCAGGTCTTGGAAACCCCAAGGATGAGAAGTGCAAAGCCTCATGGGGGACTTGGTCTGCTGCTTGACTGTCCTTGCAAAGAAAAAGCTTTGCCTTACCCCCAGCCTGAACCACTCTTCTTTCACTTTCTGGCTGTCATCTGTCATCCTCCCACCATGCACCATTGTGAACAGCCTGGCTCCATCCTCTCAGTAGCCTCCATGTAGGTGTTGGAATTTGGCATCTCTCCTCCAGGCCAGACAAAGAGACCTCCTTCAGGCTCTTCTCAAGTGCTCCAGCCGCATGACCACCTGCGTGGTCTTCCACCAGACTTGCTCCAATTTATCCGCATCTTTTTCACACTGGGACACGCTATTCTAGATGTGGTCTAAGAAGTGCCAAGTAAAAAGGGGGAGCATTGCTCGCTTTACTCTATTGACATCAGCAATAGCGTCAATACAGGCCCGGATACCACCAGGCTTATTTGCTGCCAGAGCATTCTTCTGTCACGAGCTACATGGACAGAGGCATCCCACCAGCATCTTCCCCTCTACTGAAATCTGAAAAACTGATTCCTGTCTACTCTTTTTGCCTTTTTCCCAGCAGCAGCTAAAGCTCTTGGAGATGAGGTATTGAGAGTCCATGTATTTGCTCCACCACTCTTTTCCTGCCATTTCCCCTCTTTTTCTCAGGCCTGGCTCATGACCAATCCCACAAGTCTCAACAAATTCTTTGCAATTCGTTCCACTCACATTTGGGGATCTTTTCCTGTCAAAGTAGAAGGTACTCCGAAGATACAGAAAAAAAAGGACATGTATTTATGTGAACAGAACTGTAAAGCAGTTCAGGCAAAAAAAAAGAAGCCATGGACTTCTATGTCTTCAAGACTGAAGTTTAGAAAAGAGGGGAAATGAATTATAGTATATGTTTGAAAGTGAAAAGATATTCAGCAACTGATTGCAACAAGGAGAATGGAATTCATATAGACAATTGGGAATCTGGATGACAACACATCAGAGAGGGACAGAGACTCTCCAAGGGGAGAAGTTCCTTTTTTATTAAACTTATAAACCATGAAAGTTGCAGTTGATAGACGGCAGTTTTTCTCTTGGGGAAAATGTTAATAATTTAAAATATAGTCTCACACTTAAAAGGGAAATTATGAAAAAAAAAAAAGGATTTGTAAAAACTGAAAAAAGATCCTGTCCAAGCATTCAATTCCAATCATGTCAGTCCTGTACAATGCGAACAAAATAAGGATCAGAATGAGAATATATGAAATATCAAAATAATCCTTGCTGAGTTTCAACTATTTGCCCAACTTTTTAAAGACAATTTTAGTGAACTGTTTTCAGCATTCTCAAGAGGAATAAACAAATCTGTTGAAATTTTGTGTTTAATACCGAAAAGCTTCTCTGCACTGAATTTTCCCTAGTGGCTGATTTCAGCCGACATAAAGAGGAACACTGGGAGACTGGGATTTACCAGGAATAAAGAGGCCTGATGGTTTTGGTTAGATGGAATCCACAATCTAGTATGTGCCATTAGACATGTATTAATTTAAGTACAATGTTTTTTAAGCTACATAGAATAGTACAATTCCATTGTGTATTCTCTTCTCCATGGGCTGTATATCCTGACTCTTTTATTGGTGTGAATAAGTAATGTTTCAAAAATAAATAACAATAGGAAGATACTGGAATTAAGTAATACTGCTAAGAGCAAGGTCAGACAAGAAAAGGCCCTCTAAAAAGAGTCTACATGTAGCACAACTGTGAAAGACAAGAAGTGTATTACTAAATCCTTTCAGTTTGCGCTAGCACTCCATACAATAGAACATCAGCCACCTGAGACATGAAAATCCATTTTCTTACATGCCTCTGACAATTTCCAAGCATTCAGGTAGTAGGCACCTGTAGAAGAAGGCTCCAACATCACTTTTGTTACACACCCATAATGGCATGACTCCCACTGCACAATGTAGAGTAGCCCTGACAGAAGTGTGAAGCTGGGTGGGGGTGTCATAGTAATATTTTGTAAAGCGTGATTTTGTCTCATTCCCTGGTGACCTCAACATCTTAAGGAAGGGCAGTGTTACCTTCTCCTTATGACACTACCTAAGGCAGAAAGTGACGAAGAGTTTAAGCTTTGTCAGAATGAAGAAAGTATTCCTGTGGTTATGGACTTTTAGCAGCCAGCTTTTGCTTTCCCGGAGCATTTGAGGAGGTAAACTGAAGAGCACATGGGACTTCAAGTCTTTTAGACATTACAATCATTATTTATTGGGTTTATATTGAAATGTTACTTACCTATTACTGATGTGCTCTAAGATACTTTGTGTTTGTGTGCATTCCTACTCTGGCTATACAAGCAATATTAACGAAGTTTTTGCCTGGGCAGTAAAAGTACCCTAAAACCCCATTCCTTTTTCTTTCCTTTCTCCCTCTTGTATGTGCAGGAAAGGAAAGAAAGAATAACAGGGAATGGCCACCCTTTTGGTCCCAGCAGCAGCTCTTCATGTTCCAAGAATACAAGATATTCTGGAGGAAAGCCATCAATGTCACTTGGGCCGTTGCAGTTGATACCTTAACTGTAGCAAGAGCCTCTCTTTTCTACCTTTCACTGTACATGTCTGAGCAATTTGAAGTAAAATAATAGCGTCTGTGCTTACCTTGCCAGCCCCTAAGTCTGACTCAGACACAGCAGTCATTGGACCCTCCCTGGATTTTGCTCTGCTAATATGAGAAGAAAAAATTGCCTGAAAGCCAGATTGCACAAGAAGCTTTTAAACCAAACCCAAGATGCTTCATCCAGAGAAGAAAATTTCCTGATTCGAGTGCACTCCTTACATAATCTCTAATACATATGTCAGCCAATACAGTATATTGGATAGCAAGCAATTGCGATGGGTCTTTGCCTTCCTAGTTCTTCCAGGTGATGGAAATACAATCAAAATGCTTTTCATGTGAAAAGGTGAAGACAACAGCAGATTACCACAGGCTTAAATGATTTCTCCACAAAGATTCTTTGTGAAAAAAATGGAGATCTTCTGTAGCTCCTGATGAAAAGTTTCTGAGCATTGCTCAGGTAAATCTAGACCTTGGCACATTAGGACCTTCACAGTAGCTCAGGGGGAGAAAATCAGAGAAATTGCTTAGTATATTATGGCAGTAATGCTACTGAGCACATACTCAGAATTCGGTGGGAAGATCCACTGCTTTTATATAGAGCTGGTAGTGTCAGGAAGAAGTGAGTTAGATTTTACACTGTATAGAATGTAGATTGTTCTGACATGTTTGTCCAGTGGTCTTTCCCCAGTAATTAACTGAAGAGGAACAAGCTTACTCTCTTCCTCATTCTGAGAGTTGGAAGCAGCTGATGTGATTAGTAGCTGAGTGATAAAGTCACTCTTAACTGGCCCTAGAACCAGGCCTGCATGAACTATGCTGGGAACTAGTAGAAATAGAACAGCTTCATCCCTTCCTTATCTTTCTGGTAAGTGCGCACAGACCAGCATCAAAAGGAGAATTTATCTGTGTGAGTCTGCATATTTGAAGATATGGGTGTTTGGTGCTTCTTTAGATGGGAAAGGGTAAAGATGTTTGCCTGAAGCTCCGTTCTGTTCAGAAACTTCTGCAGTGGAGTGACAGGTGAAAGTGCTTTCAGTGAAAGAGAAATGTGGTTGCCCTGTTAAGCCATCCAGCCTGATTTATAATTAAACAACTGGTGCGATGTATCATAAGGAAAAAAATATTAAGATGAATATTGGGGGGAGAATTTTCTTTTTTTTTCTTTTTTTTTTCATTAAGTAAGATTTCTTGATTCACAGACCAAAGGAGGAATCTGCCACCTTTAAGTCATAGAAAAAGAATTGCAGGGTCCTCTACAATGTCCCTGGTGAGCGTAAAACACAAGTCGCTGGTGTTATGGGCCCTTACCCTTAATGATTTCCCTCCTGCAGCTTAACTCCCACATAGAGAACTAAGACCTGGCCCACAGCTTTCCCCTATTGGTTTTCCTGCTATGGAAATGACACTGAAATGGAGTCTTGGCCATAAGGAAATGTGCCTGGGAGATTAAGTTACCTTCAGTGAGGGAGCCGTGTGAAGGCCTAATTCTGTATGTGTCATATTCATTCTATGTTACAATCAGCTGCAACCTGATTTATCATCTGGCAAAAATGAAACCTTTCAGCAACAGGGAAAACCTGGAACTGAAACGAAGTAGCTAAACAGCTCCAAAGAAGAGCTGAGGAAACACCTAGAAACTAACTTTAAGGGAAGACACATATGAAGGTCCCAGTGTCTTTGTAACAGTGAGGTGTAAGTCAGGGCAGACATGGAAATTGGCATTAGAGCTATCTAGACATTTGGGTACTCGATTCGTCAGCATCACTATAACGTACAAGAAATTCCCAAGGGATGTAGACAAGTACTGTCACACTGTGCCAGCCATGGGAGAACCAAAGCACAGAGTTAAGCATTTTGGCTGAAGCCATACAGGAAAGCTTTGATAGAGAAAAGTACAGAATCTGATCTCCTGAGGATCACTCCACTCTGATTCACAAGACCGTTCTTCCTTGTTGAGTGAGCTGCTTGACAGCAGATCTCAGTCACTGCAAGCCACTTTTCCAACAGCAAATACACATCCTGGGCTTTGCTTGAACCAAGTTAAAAGAATGTAGATGTTTCTGAATGGTAACTGGGTAACAACCAGGTTTAGAATCTGGGCATGCTTCAACCTGCAAGGAAAAAAGAGCACAGTGGAGGAAATAAGTCAGAAGCTTGAAAGTAGCAGTTTGACAAATCTGGATTAAAGGAAGTATTGCTTTATTGGTTTAAGTATCCTATATTCTTATTGGAATATATGCTTTTATGCTATCTAAAGCAAATATCCCTGCTTGTCATCCATCAAAACAAGTATACTTAATCTCTCATTAATAACTCTATTTCTTAAATCAGCCATTGGCATTTCCATGGCTCCTGAATCCTAGACGCGTGCAATCAGTACACAGCAGTGTTAATAGATTTTCCATAGCAATCCTTCTGTAGTAGCTCACTTCCCAGGCACCTAAAGAAGCATGTTGCATCAATAGTACAGTGCAGATATAGCTAACAGGAAACACCAGGAAGCTGTCAGTAGACAGGAGGGACCACCTTACTAACTTGATCAGACCCTCTTGAACTTTACCATGACGGAGAATATATAGAAATAGACTGATTGCCTTGCAAATAATTTCTTGTCTCATGTGCAGCTATCAAGAACATGCTTTCTTATGCATGCATATCCATGTGGCTAATTGATGTCTCTGGTAATTCCAGTCCCTGTAAAAAAAAACAACAAAACTTCATGTTACCATCTCTTCATCTTACATGATCAGGTCTCCTCCTCAGGATACCTGCATCAGCACTTTTTTTCTGTGCTGATCTTGCTGACCTGTACCTTTTTGACAGCTCTTAATACAAAGCTAGTTACCACAAGGTGATGCATATGAGGAGTTTTGCATTGCTTTTAAACACAGTCTTTGTTGCAACTGGTTATGGATTTTCTAAAGTAATGTTGTTCATTAGGAAAAGCCACCTCGTTGAAACCAACCCTGCTAGGGAGAAAGATCAGCTTTGCATAAACTGACTCCATTAAATCTGAGGAATAAATTATGCAGTTATGAGATCTGAATTTAATGTTTTCAAAATGAAGCCTTCTTTTTCAACTGGAAAATCTTTTTGTTTCCAATATTTGTGTTTTAAAAGGTTTAAAATATTCAGAAGCTCAGATGGAAAAAGTGGTTTTCAAAATCAGCATAACAACATTTCAAACATTTCAACAACATCTCTAACCTTCCCCCCCCCCGAATTTCTATTCACTGTATTTGATAAGCTTAGGGGTGTTGTGCCACCTTAAGAAGAGCTAATTCGAAATCAGACCTTCACAGAAACAAAAAATTGCTCGAGACTCCTCTGTAAACTTTCATTATTTTTTTTCACATCACTGGTGCCTATTCAGATATTGCAAATCAGGCACTCTTCTAAAGTGGTTCTTACTGGGGTCTTTGCCAAGAACTTTGCCTATTTTCCAAGCATCTGCTTGTGTTCAGCATGTTCATTTAAAATCACAGCCGTTGGCAAAATTACTGCATTCCATCATGCCCCTTCCTGTAGATCACTACAGGACACTAGGTGTTATTCAGACTTTCGTAGTTCAGGTCCAGGCTCTGAAATACTGCAAGAACAATCGTCTATCTGTACAATACTGTGCAATTTCTACTTTCATTCTTGGCTGATGAGGGAAAGTGAAGAGATATGTAAGCACTTAAAAGTATAAATCAAATCTGAATTTTGAGTACTGATGTTTAATACCTTGGACAAAACACACCTGGCATTGCTGTTGTCAAGCTCTGTATCCAGCAAACAACTTCTTTTTTACTGATGGTGCTAGTCCTGGGTCCCATGTGGAGATTTGATACTCAGGGTTCAGGGAGCCAATCGGAACCTACAAGAAGGCTAAGATTTAAACAAAAGTATTGCTGCACTATATGCTGTATATAACTGCATGTGTTTCAATATGTGTGCTCTTATAAAAGTGGACAGAGTAGAGATATATACACAAAATTGTTGCAGATGTCATTGTCGTGGTTTAAACAGTCATTCATTCATTAGAACATGGGACTGAGCGTTGAGTATCTCATCTCTAAAACAGGAATAATAATACTTCCTTGCCTAGGTAGGCATCAGTCTCTCCTTTGGTAAATCACACTACAAAGTCACATTTTGGTAGTCTTTTAGCTATAGGAAGGGTTAGTCATTTAATAACTACACCACTAACAAAGTGTTTGGCCCTCTTAAAAATTAAATCTTTGATGCTGTAAAAACAAGGTCCACAGAGTAAGGAACAGTGTCTGCTGTTGCCGGCCATTACTTTCTCATTGCATGACTTGACTTTGCACCTCAACTTTATTCACATTAGTGTCCCCCATTGTTAGATAAGGTAATGGTCCCCCAAGCTACAAAAACACTTCAGCATCCCTAGACAAAAGGTACTGTGGAAGCTCAAAAGAACTGTTTACATGAGTTAAAAAATAACTTTCAACCTTTGATCTTGAAGATCTATTTCACCATATGCTCAAAAGCCTGACTGCTTCAGCTGCACCTTTTTCCTGCGGATGCACTCTTTGACTTCACAGCCCTTATGCTTTTAGCTTGATGGCATCCAAGATGTTTCTTAGCAATCATATTCTGCCAGCAACACACATTCTTTGCTCCTCAGGATCTGGGAAATTTGCTGCATTCCTCTCTTTTTTCCACACTGCTCTTTGGAGAAGTTAACCTCTGAAGAAACCCAGGCAAATAAACAGAAATCCCTCAAGCATAAGGGATCTGCAGCATGTTGAAAATGCATAGGGGTGGAAAAACAACTCTGTAGTTGTCAGCTGAAACTGATCCAAACAATCTGATCGAAGATGATAACTCGACTTTGTTTTGTGCAAAAAGACCTTTGTTTATACAACAAGGGGAAACCATTAGCAATATTAAAGTAGCTGGCTTGGAATAAGAAATATAATGGCTAGAAGAAAGGAACAGCACCCTGAAGAAGAAATTCAATTTTTATAGGGCTTCTGGTGACAAAGGAGGAGATGGTATGGAATGTGGAAGGTTTACTTCAGGGCAAATATTTTTTAACTGACACTTTGCCTCTAATAGTTGATTTACAGAATCTTTTGGGGCTATGAAATGGGTAGGAATAGGAACAGAGGTGGCCATGAGCACCTTACACAACGCACCTGTATGGTGATTATGTTGAAAGGTTTTAAAACCAAAAACCAAGGAGGCTGCTTGCCCATTCCAAAGGGCCACAAAAAGGATGAAAACGTGAGAGAGATGGGAGACAAGACAGCAGCTTCACATTGAAAGTACTCAAGTACTTTCAAGTATTTGTAGATGAAAAGTAGGACAAGTAGATGAAAAGGCAGATTCTTTCCCTGCTCTGCCTTTCTTGTCTAGCACTCAACTAATAATCACATCACTCAGCACTGTCTCCCTGATGACTTGATGTCATATCCTAATGCATTCAGCTCTACTCTCCACCTCTCTCTCCTGGGTCCAAGTCTTCCTAAGCATGTAAGAACACCATCCTCAGTTGTACTAAGAGTAAAAGAACAGTCCCCATGTGGTTTAATTCTCTTCCAGGTTCTAGAAATCCACCAGTTCAAGTCGTCCCCAAAAGCCAGAACAGTCCTGGCTGGAACATTCTTTCATGAGATTGTCAAACCCCATTTTGAGCATATTTCTACTTTTGGCCTCCATCACATCCCTTGTCACTGAACTCCGCTATTTATGAGGAAAAGACATTTTATCCTTTTGTTTGTTTGACAATTCCCCATATTGTATTATGAGAAATGGCAAATTTCTTTTTCACTTTTTCCAAAGCATTCATGATTTTGCAGACCTGTACCATAACCATAACCTACCTCAGCTGTATCATCTCCAGACTGAACAGCC